ATGCTAAATGCAGAAGAATTTCATCACAGCCTCGATGTTTATTTGGCAACAGTGGTGACGACCTCCGATAAATCTCTGGATCGGAAAATAAAACCTACCGGATCAATCGAAAACCGTACCAAAAGCATCATGTTCATAAATAAGCAATCCAAACATAAGCAATCACAAACACCCCTTATATATATATATATATACAAAGAGAGAGACCAGAGATCTTGATTCACATCTTGCTTTCTTCTATTTCTGATTATGTGGGCTCAGATCTGCAAATCTGGAATCCGACAAATGGGATCAGACACCGCCATGGCTACAACCCGTTGCCCCGCCAAGATACGGGCCAAATTTTACCCAGTGCTCGGAAACCTATGCTCGAAAATGCTAAATGCAGAAGAATTTCATCACAGCCTCGATGTTTATTTGGCAACAGTGGTGACGACCTCCGATAAATCTCCGGATCGGAAAATAAAACCTATCGGATCAATCGAAAACCGTACCAAAAGCATCATGTTCATAAATAAGCAATCCAAACATAAGCAATCACAAACACCCCCTATATATACACACACAGAGAGAGAGAGAGAGAGAGAGAGAGAGAGAGAGAGAGACCACAGATCTCGATTCACATCTTGCTTTCTTCTATTTCTCGTTATGTGCTTCAAAGGGATTTTGATTGTTCACCATATTAGTGAATAATGGATATGGAGAGATGCAGTGATGAATCGTCTGAGATGAGGAAGGGATGAGAATGTCTTGAGAAGAGGATGAGGGATGAGAGTGTCTTGAGAAGAGGATGAGGCTGAATAAGCATCATTTCAAATTTAAAATTTGAAATTTCAAAATTGAAATTTGAAATTTGGTGGTGATGGTAGAGGGGTTAAAGTCAATGCATCAATAAGTTGTACATTATGCTTTATGACTTATCCTTAAGAGTTTTTTGAAATTTATGCATAAAATGACAGTACTTTGTGCTTAAGGGGTTGTAATTAAGATAATGGTCTAAATGGTTATATATGTAGTATATATATATATATATATATTAAAGTGTGTGGGCTTGGGCTTATGGCTGGCCACATGATGTCCCACACCTAACCCCACATATAAAAGTAGGTGACTCTTTTATTTCTACCCACTTCTAGCTTATTTTTCCATGCAAAACCACCTAGAATTCTCTCTAAGTGTCTCTTCTCCTCCCCAAAACCACTTCAGCCGAAAATTCAAAATAAACCCCCTTAGTTTCAATCATTTTTGAAGAACATTGAAAGATTTAAAGTGTTATCAACAAAGGTAAAGAGTTAGTTACATTGTTTTAGCATCTTAAACATCATTTATCATCTTTTTCTACACATTTCCTTCTTCTTTTTGAACTCAAATTTCTGGAGTATCTAGATGGTAGATTATACACCAAAGACATGAAAAATGTCTTTATAATGGTGATAATCCATGATCTATAGTCTTAGAACTCAAGAAATTAGGGTAAAACCACATTGCATGTGGATTTAAACCTTCAAAAGTGGTATTGGTGCTGTCAGATTTCTTACTAGCACTTTTGTCGTCCATATCTCCCAAAATAATAGTCCAAATGTTATGCTAATTTATTTTAAGTGTATTTCTTGGAGTTTGGGTTCTATTCCAACTGGAATCATGTAAAAATATGGAGTTTTGACCCCTCAAACACTTAGATCAAGTTAAGTGTGCAAACAGTAAGTTCAACAGTAGGTAAATCCTACTTTGAACACTCACAATTCCTCGATAACTTTTTCAAAATGTTTGATTTTTCTTTTGGAGTTTATTTTAGTGAGTTGTTGTTCATATGCCTCTAGTTTCACTTAAAAATATTGAGTTTTGAGCATTCAAATGCTTGATATAAAACTCTGGTGCAAACTGATGCTGCTAGACAGAAACGTACATGCATGTTCAAAGTGGCACAACTCTCTCAAAATCTAATAAAAATGTGTAATTCATTTTCTGGAAGTTGGATTAATGAGTTAAGTTTACAACTCAATTGAAATCATTGAAAAACATTAAGTTTAGACCTTCCATTTGACCTCAGATTTGACAGGATGCAAATAAGTTGGACATTTGAATTACTAAAACACTTCCAAAATGTGTGGAATTTGGACAGAAGTTGTCTAACACAGTAACATTTGTGGTATAAAAATTTGGACACAAAATGATTTATGGAAGGTTTCTTTTGATAGTGATTTGTGAGACCAAAATTCCAGAAACAGAATTTACATTCTGTCCAAGTGGTAACTTTTTGTGCAAAAGACTTTGATCTTAAAATACATAAATATTGGACCATTTTTAAGAACAATTAATAAGTATCAACTTTAATCCATAAAAACTTATTGGCATTACGTAAGATATAATTTGACTTTATCTTTATCGAGACCCGATAGGTGATCTAATTATTGGATTTCGGACTGTTTAGGAAAGTTAGGGCGAACGTTTAGTGCTTCAAACGTCATCAAGTTCTTGGATGTTCATCAACAAACTTGTGAGTATACACGGCCCTACTTTTACTGTTTTGTTTATTGAAATTGGGGGAAAAGCATGAAAGTCTGCAAACTATACTGTTTAGTTGTAAAACTGTTGGACTAAAGAACTGTTTAGTCAAAAATTGTTGAAATCATGAAAAATTGATTGTTATTGCACTATGTATAAATGATAAATTGATGTACTTGAGAGTATATTTTAAAAAGTCCCCTTCCGTAAATGCTACTAGTTAACTCGGGCACGTTCCTGGGCCGTGGTAATTGTGGATAACCATTATTGTGTTGACAGTCCCACCCAAAAATGGGTGCACATTACCTATGTTTAATAGTCTACTTATGTGTGCGAACGGGCTACCATTCGATTTAGGAAGATGCTGGAACCGTGACTAACACTGAAGTAGTACTGATACGAACCGTGGTACCTAAGTGAGCGAGCGGGCCACTTTATGGTAGTTCGTAAAATAATGGGGCACATTGGTCAGGTAAGGCTCAGTAGCGTCTCAAGTTTTAAACATCGTTAAAGATTTACATTTATCTTGTACAAGTATATGTATTAGTTTGCAA